CATATCAATAATATAAGCTTCCATCTGCAAAACCAGAACATGATTTAATAAAGTACTGGAAAAAAAAAAAAAGGAAACAAAAAAGATAAGAAAAGAAGTAAAGAAAGAGGAAACAAAAACAATGGAGTAGGGGCGCCTGGGTGGCTCAGTCGTTAAGCGTCTGCCTTCGGCTCAGGTCCTGGTCCCAGGGTCCTGGGATCGAGCCCCGCATCAGGCTCCCTGCTCCGCGGGGAGCCTGCTTCTCCCTCTCCCACTCCCCCTGCTTGTGTTCCCTCTCTAGCTATGTTTCTCTCTGTCAAATAAATAAAACCTTTAAAAAAAAACCAAAAAAACCCCCAAAAAACAATGGAGTAAACCAATGAAACCAAAAGCTGGTACTTTGAAACAATCAATGAAATTGATAAACCTCTAGCCAACTGACCTAGTAAAAGAATAAGACACAAATTACCAATAACATAAACGAAAGAGGGGCATTGCTACAGATTGCACAAACATCAAAAGGATAAAAAGTATATTTTAGACAACTCTGTCAATAAATTTGATAAATTCCTTGAAAGATACAAACTACAGAAGCTCACAGAAGGGAAAAAACCCAATAACCTGAATATTCCTAATTCTACTAAAGAAACTGAGCTGCTAGTTAAACACCTATCCATAAAATAATCTCCAGGTTAAGATGGCTTCACTGCTGAATTCTAACAAACATTTTACGAAGAAGTAATACCAGGGCGCCTGGGTGGCTCAGTTGGTTAAGCGTCTGCCTTTGGCTCAGGTCATGATCCCAGGGTCCTAGGATTGAGCCCCACATCGGGCTCCCTGCTCAGCAGGAAGCCTGCTTCTCCCTCTTCCACTCCCCCTGCTTGTGTTCCCTCTCTCGCTGTGTCTCTGTCAAATAAATAAATAAAAATATAAAAAAAAAAAAAGAAGTAATACCAATTTACACAAATTCTTTCAGAAAATAAGAGGAGAGAATACTTCCCAACTTATTTTATAAAAATTACCCTGATATTGGGGTGCCTGGGTGGCTCAGTTGGCTGAGCGGCTGACTCTTGATTTCGGCTCAGGTCATGATCTCAGGGTCCTGAGACTGAGCCCAGCGTTCAGCTCAGTGGGGAGCAGCTTGAGAGTCTCTCTTTCCCTTGCCCTCTGCCCCTCCCCCCACTCACACGCATGCACACTTCTCTCTTTCTCAAATAAATAAATCTTAAAAAAAAAAATTACCCTGATACCAAAACTAAACAAAGGTATTACAAGAAAAATCAAACCAAATTCTTATGAACCATAAACAAAAGAACCCTTAACAACGTATTAGCAAATTCATTAAGCATATATAAAAAAAATATATCATTACAAAGTGGCATTTATCCTAGAGCTACTTAGTTGGCTAAACATATCAAAATCAATATAATTCACTGTGTTAATAGAAAAAAGAGAAAATTCGGGCGCCTGGGTGGCTCAGTTGGTTAAGTGATTGCCTTCGGCTCAGGTCATGATCCTGGAGTCCAGGGATCGAGTCCCGCATCGGGCTCCCTGCTCAGCAGGGAGTCTGCTCCTCCCTCTGACCTTCCTCCTTCTCATGCTCTCTGTCTTTCATTCTCTCTCTCTCAAATAAATAAATAAAATCTTTAAAAAAAAAAAGAAAAAAGAAAAAAGAGAAAATTCATATAATGGGGAATAACCAATAGATTCAGAAAAACTTTTGAAAAAATTCAATACCTTCTCATTATAAAAACTATCAGCAAACTAGAACTTTTTTACATGATAAATCTATGCAAAACCTGTAGCTAATATCATACTTAATAGTAAAACACTGAATCCCTTTCCCCTAAGTCAGGAATAAGGTAAAAATGTCTGTTCTCACCACTTTTAATCAATACTGTACTGAAGGTTCTAGACAATGTAGTAAATAAATAGATTGAAAAGCAAGATGGTATGGTGAGCGCTGTGAATTGTGTAAGACTGATGAATCACAGACCTGTACCTCTGAGACAAATAATACATTATATGTTAAAAAAAAAAAAAAGAAGAAGATAGGAGGAAGCAAAAAATGAAGGGGGGGAAATCAGGGCGGGAGATGAACCATGAGAGACTATGGACTCTGAGAAACAAATGGAGGGCTCTAGAGGGGAGGGGGGTGGGGGGATGGGTTAGCCTGGTGATGGGTATTAAAGAGGGCACGTATTGAATGGAGCACTGGGTGTTATACGCAAACAATGAATCACGGAACACTATATCAAAAACTAATGATGTAATGTATGGTGATTAACATAACATAATAAAATAAAATTAAAAAAAGAAAAGCAAGATGGAAAACAGTCATTATTCACATATGACATGACTGTCTATGTAGAAAATCCTAAATAATATACAAAAAATTACTAGAACTAATAAGTGACTAAAAAGATTGTAGGTCAATATACAAAAACCAATTGCATTTTCATATATTAGCAGTAAACAGTGAGAATTTGACATAAAAATGAATAGCATTTACATAAAAAAAGTACTCAGGGATCAATATATCAAAACATATACAAGAAGGTAAACTGAAAACAACAAAGCATAACTGAGAGAATTTAACGATCTAAATAAAAAGAGATGTACATGAATTGGAAAATCGTATTATTGGGGCGCCTGATGGCTCAGTTGGTTAAGTGACTGCCTTTGGCTCAGGTCATGATCCTGGAGTCCCTGGATCGAGTCCCGCATCGGGGCCCCTGCTTGGCGGGGAGTCTGCTTCTCCCTCTGACCCTCCGCCCCCCATGGGTTCTCTCTCTCTCTCTCTTTCTCAAATAAATAAAATCTTTAAAAAAAAAAAAAAGAAAATCGTATTATTATTAATGATGACTATTCTTGAATTTAAACTGTTAATAAGCATTTTAACATCTTCCACCCTAACAGGCTGTCTTTACACATTCTTCTAATGTGCTTTAGGTCTGATGCTATAAAAAGTATAAAAGAACAGTTGTTGTTTTTTTTCTTATAGATTTTATTTATTTATATGACAGAGAGACAGCGAGAGAGGAAACACAAGCAGGGGGAGTGGGAGAGGGAGAAGCAGGCTTCCCGCCGAGCAGGGAGCCCGATGCGGGGCTCAATCCCAGGACCCTGGGATCATGACCTGAGCCAAAGGCAGATGCTTAACGACTGAGCCACCCAGGCGCCCCAAAAGAACAGTTATTGATTAATGTTTTAAGTTTCTGTTTGGGATGATGACAACCTTCTGGAAATACATAATGGTGCTGGTTACACAATACTGAATGTACTTAATGGGACTAAACTAAAAACTTAAAAATGGCTAAAATGGTGAAATTTTATATTATATTATGTATATTTTACCACACCCACACCCACAGATACACACACAGTTAAACAGAAAAGCACAGAAACACAAAGATCCAAATGTGAGCACTGGGGTGAGCACTTGGAGGACTAGAAAAGGAGCAAAGGTGTTAAATGGGAAAACAAGTGACCACGGGATGAAGAGGCACTCAAAATAAAGATATCAGTGGGGATGAAGGAACTGTGTTATAAGGAATAATATTTACCACTAAATTATGCAGTGGAAGAGAGACATTTATTTAACTCAAGCTAGCTGTATTAGTAGGTGGGTATGGGACTGGGGCCAAAAGCAGACTGAAAACAAAACAAGAAAGAATAGGATGGGCAGGAGATAATGAGATAAATCTTGGCCATATGCCTGAAGTATCTGTGGAACATGCAGGTGGTGATATTTAGTTGGAGATTGGATATGGTTCTGACAGAGTTTCAGGTTTAAAATTATGTGAGCTTCATTAGACTAGTGGTAGATTGTGAATAGGAACAGGAGACTAAAGAGAAGAGAACCAATAAAAAATCTGGAGGACACTAGTATTTAAGACGTCCAGATACAAAGATGAATCTTCTTTTTTTTTTTTTAAGATTTTATTTATTTATTTAGAGAGCATGCACATGTGAGCAGGGTGGGGGAGGGAGGCATAGGGGGAGAGGGAGAGAGAGAATCCTAAGGAGACTCGGACAAGGGGCTCAATCCCATAACACTGAGATCATGCTCTAAGCCGAAACCAAGAGTCGAATGCTTAACCGACTGAGCTACCCAGGTGCCCCTAAAGATGAATTTTCTGAAAGAACCAAGAGAGAGTAACGACTTTGAAACCAAGAACAGAATATTTCAAGAGTTAAACTTGTAATTCAGTATGGTGATCTAAACATATACATTTACTTCTCCTGCATCCAAATATAAAAGGATAAGAAATTTATTTAGTTTTATTTTTTATTTTTCTTTTAAAGATTTATTTATTTGACAGAGAGAGAGATAGTGAGAGCAAGAACACAAGCAGGGGGAGTGGGAGAGAAAGAAGCAGGCTTCCTGCCGAGCAGGGAGCCCGATGCGGGGCTCGATCCCAGGACCCTGGGATCATGACCCGAGCCGAAGGCAGACGCTTAATGACTGAGCCACCAGGCTCCCCATTATAAGAAATTTAAACATAGGAACACCATTAGCATAATGGGGGAGTGTTATTGGCAAGCCACAGATTTTTAGGAATTGTTAGCAGCTATGAGCAAAACTGAAGGATCAGACAGGAGAAAAGTAAGATTCTCAGCATAGCTCTATTCTCAAAGCCTCAAGACAAGACTCCTTGCCACTTATTAATAGCAATATATCAATTCCATCTCCCTCTTGACTGTTTTTATTTAAACAAGACAAGTTCATGCAGTAATATGTTCTCATTTGAGGAAACGCTTTTTTTGTCCCAACTCTGCCTCTGGGAGAAGAAAGATGTTCAACGATATACCCACTTAATGTGTGAACACTGGTTAAAATTAGAAGGAGCATCTGTGGAAGGAAAAGACTTATCTGGCCAATATGGGAAGAAATGAGGACCACTTCTCTGTAGGGGATGATAGGCAGGAGGATTTAGTGCAAGAAAGACAAATGCTCAAATATCCATTAAAAAAAAAAAAAGATGATTTTGGAAAGGAAAGAGAAATCATCACCTCACCTGAGCCATGGTTTTGAGATCTGCAAGAGGTGACCAGTCTTCCTTTGGGTTCCTCTTTGGAAAAGAGGCAGTTCCTATGAAGGCAAAGCTGAGATGAAATGAAGCCACATGACACTATACATGCCTTACAGCTCTCTTGTGACTTAGGACTCAATTGAAATTGCCTCCGTTTCCCTTACTTTGGCTCTTGACCTGCACATTCCACATCATTTATGGGGGGAGAATGAGCTAGACAGATCTTATTTTATCCCCAAATCCAGAGATACAGGCTCTTGGGCAACAGGTTAGATTTTGGGCAAGTCCCCCTTCTTTCTAGCACCATCTTTTCTCTCTTAGTAGCCTACCTCCAAGCTGCTCTCCATGAGGCTCTACCATTTATACTATCACCAATGATATATGAGAATACCTGTCACCCTACACCCTGACAAATGCAGATATAAACTTCTAGATGCTTGCCTATCTAATAGGTAGAAATTGTAGTTCTAGCTTTTATTTTTCTTTTCTTTTTTTTTTTTAAAGATTTTATTTATTTATTTGACAGAGAGAGAGACAGCGAGAGAGGGAACACAAGCAGGGGGAGTGGGAGAGGGAGAAGCAGGCTTCCCGCTGAACAGGAAGCCCGATGCGGGGCTCAATCCCAAGACCCTGAGATCATGACCTGAGCCAAAGGCAGTCGCTTAACCAACTGAGCCACCCAGGCGCCCCTATTTTTTTTTATTATGACAGAAAATAAGCTTCTTTCCATAAGTTTAAAAAACATCCTTAGTTTCTCATGTGAATGGTCTCTTATAATTCTTTCATTTCTCTATCATATTTTTATTTTCTAGATTGGTTATTAGATCTTTTTAAAAGGAAGGAAATATTGTATTCTTTTTTTAGAAAATATTTTTATTTATTTATTTGATAGAGCACAAGCAGGGGGAGCAGCAGGCAGAGGGAGAGGGAGAAGCAGGCTCTGCAGGAAGCCCGATGTGTGAGCCCAGGACCCTGGGATCACGACCTGAGCCGAAGGCAGACCCTTAACCAACTGAGCAACCCAGGCGCCCCGGAAATATTGCATTCACTTAAAATAATTTGTTATAGTTTCTCAATTGTCTTTGTTTTTCCCATGCAAAAGTAACTTATAAAAGATTATTGACCATCTGGTTTAGTACCGTTAGGTGTTCAATAACATTATTTCCTCCCTTCATCAAAACTGACATCATGTACTTTATTTCCTTTATATATTTGAGTAGATTTGGAGTTTATATTTAGTTTCACTAATCTATTCATTTAATTGTCTGGATGACTCTTCAGTTACTACAGTTTTCAAACATATTTTAGTATCAGGTTTGGGCTATTTCCCCCTTCATTATTTTCTTTCAGAATTTTTGGCTTGTTCATATTCTCCTAAGAATTTTAGAAAGTTCAAAAATTTTACTGAAATTTTAATGGAACTGCACGATGTTAGGGAGTTTTAACACTTTATTACTTTGTGTCTTCCTGTTCTTTTATTCAAGTCTGACTTTTTGAGTCCCTTAGGAACACTCTTTTTTCACGGATTACAAAATCCTTTGTATCTCATATTTTTGATGGCCACTGGCCATTTTCCATAGTTTTCTGATACATATATATATACATACATATAAGCACACATAGAAAGCCTATTGATTTGTCAATGTTTTTTCCAACAAACCTCTGAGTTTTCTAATTGTTGTTATTGTTTTTAACAGCATGGTAACTTAGAAATTTTTCTCTCAGTCTCAGCAGACATCCCAAAGCTGGTGAGCAAAACAAGCTTCTAAGTGTCCCTAATTCTAAAATAAAATCTTGTAAAAAACATAAGGTTTGCTATCATTAATTTAACCCCAACTTTAAGAGGCTGGAGAGGCTGAGAGAAGGAAATGTCTAGGAGAGTAAAAATCGTTTTTAGGGCATAGTTTTCCAGGGGAAGAAAACAAGGGGCCCCTCAGAGGCTGATGCCACTGGAAACCAAAGTGGTGAGAGAATTTGGGGGGAAATGTACATATTTCCAGGATTTGAGAGGGCAAAGTGACTGAGAGGGCTAATTCTCACCTGAGCTCTAGATGGCAACCCATGGATGGAGCCTGCCTGGGTTGACTTGGATCCTCTTGTCCAAGAGGACTCACTGGAGAGACAACAAGACCCACCAGAGCAGGTGGACTACTGCATGCTCAGAGAAAACACTGAGGAGACAGCTAGAGAAGTGGCTGCACCCATGAGAAGGGAAGTGTATCTGGAAGTTCCCAGCAGTGGGTTCTCTCAGAAGGTTAAGAGATGACTTACACTAAATTATAACGGTACCAATTATGTTAGTCTCTTCTTGTCCCTGACTTCTGACTTGTCTCCTGTTTTCCAGCTCCCAATCCATTCCAGCTAGAGACTACCCACCTAGAGGGGATAAGGAGGAGACAAAATAAAGGTTGAGGAATTAAAGAAGAAACTGATCATGTACTCTTTTCCCCCGGCAGGCTTCCAGCAGGAGGGAGAGTTTTTACTTTTAAAACAAGTTCGAAGTATTGATTTCTATAGAGACTCTTACTTAAATAGCTATTAGATGATGAGACTAATCTTATATTTGAATGTTCAACAGATTCAGTCTTCAAAATGACTGAAGAAATTACTGAATCTGTCTAGGAATGCATCCAGCAGCAGGGAAATAAAGAGATTCACCCAAATAGAAACTTTGAGTGGCAATTATGGGAGAAATTTTTTATGTGTGTCTTCCCAAATGGTGTTCTACTCATTTGAACATACAAGTTATTAGTCAGTGTGGGGTTTCCCAATATACAATCCTACCATCTGAAAATTATTTTTATTTTACTTCCTTTTCTCCATAAAAAAAAAAAAATCTCTATTTCACTTGTCTAATTGCCACAGGGTCAAATTTTACAAGCGTATAAAAAGGCCAATATTCAGATAACCTAAATACATATTTAACTGGTCATGCATCCAATTTCTCAAGCGCTCCAACTCAGTCACACAATAAACAATATTCATGAATTACCGCGGACTGTGCACACAAAACACTTTAAAAATTAGACAAAGACACAATTATATCACCCACGACACAATCACAATCCCATAACACACGTCATGCTAATCTCACAGAGCCTATAACAGACTTCCATACAAAGTAGCAAGATTTTACTCACAAACCCTTTACTGTCGTTTCTCCAAAGTCGCATGCAGTCTCAAACACAAATCGACTCGTAACCTATTTTAAAAATTAGACACACACGGAGACCTTATCACTTTCACAAACAACCGGTTCCACAACGTCACCCGGAGTAACACATGCCCAAACTATACAAGGACAGCCACAAAAAGCTACACGAACTGAACGCCCGTGTGTGCCAGGCCGCACTCCTAGACTTGGAGTTTCCTTACGGGGGAGAAAAAAACAGACAAAATTCCTGCCCTCCCCATCCTCACACCAGCCCCGGGCTTCCAGTTCCCCTTTCAGCGCTGTCCAGCCTGGACTACCAGTTGCCTCTACGGCGCTCCCCGGCCCGGGCTCCCTATTCCCTCCTCGGCGTTCCTCGGCCCTGGATCCTGGTTCCTTCTTTTACTTAGGTTCTTGCTTCCCTCCTCGCTCTCTGTAGGGCCCAGACTCTCGCCTTCCTCCCCGGCCTTCTTGGCCCAGGTTCCCTCTTCCTTCCTCGCTTTTCCCAGCCCAGGTTCCCGCCTCCCTCCTCGGCGTTCCCCACGGGTCCCGCCATCACCCGCCTCCTCCGCCTCCCTAAGACCCACCAGCCTCACCTTCGACCACTGGCCAGCCGTCTGCGCCTGCGTACTCCCGCGCGGGCTGTACCTCCCAAGTGTCTCCGCGGCTCGGTGTTTCAGGCCGTGGGCTCCGCGCGCGCGCGCACGCGCGCCTTCTCGACATACGGGCTTTTCCGCCCTTGAACTACATTTCCCACAGCCCCTGTGCAGCTTTTGGAAAAGAACTTTGATTCCTGGGTTCTCTCTGGTTATCGCCCGAAACCCTGAAAGTCGTCGCGTTCCGAGTGGCAACCGTCGCGCACGGTGAGGAAGCCCATCGCTCCCACAGTGCTGACAGGGTGTGTGGAGCCCGGGGCTCAAGCCTGTGTATGCGCGTTTGTGGTCGTGACGAAGCCGAGTGCGAGTATGTGCGGTAATGTGGCTGTGACAGGTGTGTGATTTGCGTGTGTGTCCCGAATCGGATGCAGGACATTGTGGCTGACCAGTCGGCTGGGATGTGAGGCATGTGACACTGTGGGGTTTGAGACTGCCCATCATAAGATAGTGCCTAGTTGTTACCTAGTGTGATGGAAGAGGCTTTTAATTCTCTGACCGGTACGAGTTTGGTTGTGTAATGAGATAGAGCTTCATGTCTTCAGTTCTGGGTTTAACGTCGGGACTGAGGGGTCTGTTGAAGACTTCTCTGAGAGTATATCTGTGCTTGTGAAGACTGCAATGCCTATGTTAACTCAAGTCGCGCTGCACCGAAGCATGGCCTGAGCTGCCTTGTCAGGGCACCCCCACCTCCAGTGCCTAGCTTCGTGCTTAACACAGTGGGGGGTATCAGTGAAGATGATGTTGCCCATCTAGGGGCCAATTTTAGGTTCTGTCCTTTCTTAGGATTTGTATATGCCTGGGTTCCCTGCAACTTCCTTTTTTCTCCTGCTTTAGAGCCATGGACCCCAGCTGCAGAGAAAAGGTCACCAAAAGGGAGTCAGATATTTGAGTGGTAGTATAAAGGTTACATACAAGCAAAAAAGCACACACCTGTTTTTGGAATGAATTTTAGAATTGGAAGAGTCCCAGGAAGACATTTGGAAGAGTCCTAGGAGTAGGATTCCTTCCTCAGAGGATCTCCCTTGGGAGCTGAGGTCAAGTTCCATGTTTCAGAACCACATCATTCCCAAAGCTGTCTCCCCAGGAAACTTGCTGTGAACTTAGAGAAAGTCTCAGCCTTGGATGTCAGTGACCCTGGCTTTTTCCTTTGATACTAAAAAGGATTAGCAGTACTCCCCATCTCGCTTTTATTTCCGTCTGTGTGTGATAGATGGCAAGAGGCTGTGTGGTGTTGAAGAACTTCTTCCGATTTCACTAGCCTGTGCTCCAAGAAAGGTCTGGTGTCTGATGATTCCCTCCCCTTCCCCTGCAGTGCTCTTCTCTGAGTGAAGAGCGCAGATAAAAGAAAACATTACTGGGCATATAGGAAACCAAGCTCAAGGTTGGGGGTTTTGTTGCCCTTGTTCTCTTTGTTTTTGTTTTTCAGAAAAGTTCTTCTGTGAAATGGTTAGGTTACTATTAGGCAGGGCCTTGTGATGTACTTTGACTAATAGCATGTGGTGGAAGTGATGTTGTAAGACTTTCGAGACAAAGCCTTAGGAGGTCTTGCAGCTTTTGCCCTTTTCCTCTTCCTGCCCTGAGACCACTTCAAACTGAAGGTTATGACTAGCTTGCTTAAAGACAAAAGATCACCTGGAGACAGAAACCCAGCTGACATTCAGCAATAGCTGCCAGATATTTCATTGAGACCATATTAGACCATCCAGCCCCCACCAAGCCACTGGCTGCTATCAGATGAGTGGATTAGTAGAACCGCTCAGCCAAGCCAAGCCAAATTTGCCAACCCCAGAATAATGAGCTAATGAATGTTTTTTGTTTTAAGCCACAAACTTTGGGGATGGTTACATAACAATAGATAACTGAAACAGGTGTTTAACTTTCTAGACTTTTTAAAAATCTATCACTCCATATTGATATAATTGTATTGGTTAACCTGTTTTGTAAAGTGATTTCTCTACTGGTATTATATCTTGAAATTTTTCTATATCCTTAATTACTTCCTACAGCTTTGCATTTGTTTATCTTGGTATTCTTTTACATGGATATTTTATAATGTATTTAACTATTAACTTTGCTGAGCAACTCCTTCTTACTGTCCAGCTCCCATGTCTTCACCAACTTTACATTCCCTTCCAGAACCTTAGCAGGACATGGTTCCTGTCATTTCATGGGTATGTAGACTTAGGAATGTGATATTGACTTCTGCTGAGTGGAATATAGATGACTCAACCCACTTAGAGGAATTTGTTCAAGGGTGTGATACAGGTTCTATATACATTTATTTAACTAATCAACTGAGTCTCCATGATTACAATATCTTTTTCCCCCTTTCCAATTCAAAATCTACATTGTGGAGCCATCTTACTTCCTTCATTGTGACTTGTTAGGGTACTTAGCTAATTTTCTGAAGGACTGATTTAAGATTCCTGGAGGTAGAAATGGACATCTCTGCTGTGTTTTCTAAAGTGTCATCATCCCGATCCTTCAGATTACTTTAACTTCCTTTTCTGCCTAATCATCAAAGGAACGGTCTGAATTTCTGCATAGCCACATCAGGCCTAAGTCCCATTTCTTCTCCTACATGCAGGGTTTAGTATTAATTAATTTCCAAGGCAGATGTGATTTCCTTGTTGGAGCAATGGCTGGTGGAGAGACTGGCAATAAGAGATCTGAGCCGAGGTAACTGAGGGGCAACCAGCAAGAGGTATCCATTGTGTATTAAAATCCTAGGTTTTGTACTATACCTTGGCTAACTGAATTTAAATTAAAAAAAAATCTTAAGTTGGGGCGCCTGGGTGGCTCAGTCGTTAAGCGTCTGCCTTCGGCTCAGGTCGTGATCCCAGGGTCCTGGGATCGAGCCCCGCATCGGGCTCTCCGCTTGGCGGGAAGCCTGCTTCTCCCTCTCCCACTTCCCCTGCTTGTGTTCCCTCTCTCGCTGTGCCCCTCTCTGTCAAAAAATAAATAAAAATCTTTATAAAAAAAAAATCTTAAGTTTCAAAATTAAGACCTTTAAGGTAGTAGAATCTGAAAGGCTTCATGTCTATGAAGAAACTTCAGACCACTTATAGCCAGAATTCATACCACTACAGAACTCTACTCCATGTTTCATACACATATCTCCTATTATTTCTTCTGCTTTCAAAGAGGGAGGGATTAGCTTCATTGTTTTTTCTGACTGTAAAATTAGTACATTCTTCATTCAGAAATTTAGAAAATACAGAAAAGCTTAAAATAAAGCTCATGTAGAAACAGCTTCTTTGAACATTTTATTCCAAATCATTTCATCTGTTTCTCTGTGAATTAACACATAGATATAGGCATATAGGATTTATTCATTCAAAACAGAATCACACCACAATACTGTTTTGTAATCTACCTTCTTCATCTAACAAAATATAGTGAACAGCTTTTCATGTCATCAAATTACAAACTGCCACAAATGTTTTGACTAAGACATTTCCCTATTGAAGGATATTTAACTTCTTTCTAGCTTTTCCCCATACAGCATTTCACTGCACACTCCTTTTTGTGAACATGTATATCTTAAAGTCTTAAACATTGTTGAGAATGAAGCTTTCAAAGTTAAAATCGACTTACATACCTTCATCAACTGCCCTGCTTAAATTTTCACCAACATACCATAAAGAGTGTCTATTCTACTAATATAGGATATTATCAATCCTTTAAATCTACCTTTAGTGGAAGTTGTGTTTGTTTGCTTAAATTAATTACCTATGCTGAGGTTTCATTTAATGTAATAAAATCTGGGTGTCTGGGACAAAAAAACAGAATCAAAGAGAACTGATTTTGTAGTTAGAGAAATGTGGATTCATATCATAGACCTGCCATTTACTGAGCATATATAATTTCTTTTCCTTCATTTTAAATAAGACTTCTGTACAAAGTAGAACACAGATCTTAAAATCATAGCTTAATGGGGTGTGTGGGTGGCTCAGTCGTTAAGCGTCTGCCTTCGGCTCAGGTCGTGATCCCAGGACCCTGGGATCGAGCCCCACATGGGGCTCCCTGCTCCGCGGGGAAGCCTGCTTCTCCCTTTCCTACTCCCCCTGCTTGTGTTCCCTCTCTCGCTATGTCTCTCTCTGTCAAATAAATAAATAAAATCTTTAAAAAAAATCATAGCTTAATGATTTCTTTTATAAACCCTTACAACCACCATTTGATAAACTCCAACATCCCAGAAGCCTCCCTCATGTCTCTTCCCAATCAGTATACCTCTAAGTTAACCATTATTTTGACCTCTATCACAATAATTGAATTTTACAGAACTGCAATCATACAGTATGTACTTTTGCGTCTGGCCTCTTTTAGCCAACATTGTATCCGTAACAGCCACCCATGCTGTATGCAGCAGTAGCTTGTAACTTAACATAGTATTATATTGTCTGAATGTGCCATAATTTATTTATCCATTCCCTTGTTGATGGAGTATTTGAGTTTCCAGTTTTTGGCTATTATGAGTAAAGCTACTATGAACACTCTTGTGTCAGTCTCTGGCATGCATATGAAATCAGTTGTTTGTATTATGTACCCCAAAACAGAATTGCTAGATTAGAAAGTAAATGTTTAGATTTAATAAATATTGCAAAGTAGTGTTTGAAAGTGAATGTTCCATTTTATGCTCCCACGTGCTATGTATGAGAATTCCAGTTGCCTCACCCGATCAGCATTATTATCATCAGTCTTTTGAATTTTAGCCATTCTAATGGGTGTGTAGTAGTACATTTATATTTAATTTGCATTCCCCTTATGACCAGTGATGCTGCCAACATAAATTCCTAAGGATAAGGGTATCCACAGAGCTGGGAATGAACAAAATTGAAATAAGTGAAGTTTCACAATAAAAGAAGTGCATAGCTTACCATACGACCCAGCCAACTGCGATCTTCGCCATTTTTCCCAGAGAAATGAAAACATAGGTTTACACAAACACCTATACGTGAATGTTCATAGTAGATTTGTAATAACCCCAAACTGGAAATAACCCAAATGTCTTTTAACAGGTAAATGGTTAAACAAACTAGGGTTTATCTTTACCATGGAAAAACACTGGCAATAAAAAGTAATGAACCAGGGCGCCTGGGTGGCTCAGTTGGTTAAGCGATTGCCTTCGGCTCAGGTCATGATCCTGGAGTCCCGGGATCGAGTCCCGCATCGGGCTCCCTGCTCAGCAGGGAGTCTGCTTCTCC